ATATTTGCTAGACAACATTAAATGAACTATAGTGAGAATGTGAAAAGTGTGTTTTATGAGGTTTTATTTTTATTAAGTCCACTGTGCCTTTAGTAGATTGTAGCTGAAATGACGTTACCTTCTGCATTGCATAAGAGACTTTTAAAAGTACTTTCAGGAAGAATTAGTCCTTTAACAAGAAGTGAATCCCTCATGTGAATGTGCAAGTGTGATGAATCAGCTGTTATTGACGTCAGCTGCTCATGCTGACGTAATGCTCATTTGTTAAAGTCGTGGGATGTTGTGGTGTGGGACAAGAGTTTATTACCTTCTGAACTCCAGAGTGTGTGTGTGTGTTTGTGTATCTGTGTCCTCTATTCAAACTTTATGAGTGAAACACCCTTTATTTATTGGCAAACATATTGAAATGACATCTTAAAGCTCACAATTCCTTTGGGTCACAACTACCAGAAACAATACAAAGAGTTCAGATGCAAAAGCCTCTAAGTGCCATTTGAAATTTTCTTCTAGAATGATCATTTTTATCAAGCTTGTATATTTAAGTTCAGTGATTTCACTTAAATGGCAATGATAATTAACTATTAATTGTTATTTAAGTGAAATTACTGAACTTAAATATACAAGTTTGATAAAAATCATCATTAAAGAAGAAAATTTCAAATGGCTTTTAGAGGCTTTTGCATCTGAACTCTTCATACATTAACAGGACATTGTGAGTGTACACACACACACACACACACACACACACACACCCTAACACACACAGCTGTAGTCTTTGAGTTTGAGTACAGTATCAGAGTACCTCTTGAAGTCAAGGGGTTTAAAGTTTTTAATAGAAAGATTATACAGCAGCACACACATCAAATACCCAACGTTACCATGGTAATCAGAAAACCAGACTGGGGTTAAGGAGCATTATTATCTGGGACAGAGAGAGTGAAAAAAGTGTTTTGTCCTATAAGTCCTTAACCCTCCAGAAGTGTTTGCACTGAGCCCCGCAACCATGGATCCTTGCCAAACACACACACGCGCACACACACGCACACACACACATTATACATTACAGATATCCTTAGGTGTGTAAGCAAATCTCTACAATCCTAAAAAGGTTTTTACATTTTGTGTTTCTAGGGGGTTGCTAGGGTAATTTTTAGTGGTTACTAGCATGATTTGGATGGTTGGCAGTGCATTGTTATCACTATGCATTTACTAAAAGGTTTTGTAGTGTGTTGCTAGGGCAAATGTTGTGGGTGGTTGCAAAGGTGTTTCTAGGTTGTGTTGTCGCTGATTGTCATTTAGTTGCAATTAAGTTACAATGGAGACTTTATGTGGTTTCCAGGGCAATTGTCAGTGGTTACCAGGGCATCACTAGGATAATCACCAGGGTGTTGCTAAGGTGCTTTCAAAGGGGCTTCAGTGTGATTTTATGCACCTCCAAGGCTGTTTTGCATGGACACAAGGGCTTTTCAATGTGGTTTCTATGGTTTTGTGGGTGGTTGCCAGAGCGTTGCTATGCGGTTTCAAGTGAGTTTATATGTGGTTGCTAGGGCAATTGTAGATGTTTGCTAGAGTGTTGTGGGAGGTTACCGGGGTGTTGCTATGCAGTTGCTAAGATGCTCTCATTGGGATATTAGTGTAGTTATGCAGTTAAGGGTGTTCTGCGTGGATGCAAGGGCTTTTCTAGGTGGTTACTATAAGGCAAAGTTACTGAAATCTAATACTTATGGTTACTGGTTTGTTCCAATCACTAACTAGCTCGTCGTACACACAGAGACTTACACAATCAGCCTGAAGAATAGCTCTGAGTCTTTTAGACCATCTGATCCCCTTTCTCTCCTTTAACTCTCTTTCTGTATCTCTCTCCCCTCCCCTTTCTTCTAATTTAAAGTTCATTCTATCTATCATTCTGACAGAGTGCCTGTGTGAGAGAGTTTTGTACTTGTGTGTATTATTTTAAATGGACTCAGGGCTCGTAGCTGACCTGGGAGATCGCTGCAGTCACACACACACACACACACACCCACACTTGCCGAAACTTGCTGTTTGTTCCTGACAGGGCTAAGATCTGCCAAATTCATTATCTGGACTCCATTTGAAGGGATTTGTGTCTGTCTTTGTTATGTGTATACACAGTTTTATCTCAGAGAATGTAGTAGTTTATCTGAAGCTAGAGGGTTTTAAAGTGCATTTATGTTCACTTCTATGTGTCTGAAACACTCAGGCTGAGAGAGAGAGTCACAATTCAGAGATATAATTCATGTTAGTGTGCCAGCGTGTCCTTGTTGGACCTACAAAGACTGAAACGCAAAAGAAAAGTCAGCTAGGTTGGTTGTTTCTTTCCAGTACAAAGACTGAAAACACTTTACAAAGAATGCCATTTCTCTTTGTCTCTCCTTAAGAAGAACAACTACCTGCATTTGCTTAAATCGAATCAACTGATTCATTGAAAAGATCTGATTCAAAAGAACTGTTCATTTATGAATCAGACTTATGAACTCTCATGCGGTCGTGCAGGTTTTGAACAGCATGGGATACTAATGGCAAAATTCACTCTTTTTTGTGTGTGTGTGTGTGTGTGACCTATTCCTTTATTTCTCCCCTGCATGTGAGCAAAGCCTTTTCTCACGTTTCGATCTTTCCTTTCTCTTTCGCTCCCTTACTGGACGTTCTGACAGTTGGTCGCAGTCCAGAGGAGCCGTTCAGCAGAACAATCGACTCCTTTCTCCTCTTCTCTTTCACTCTCTCACTCTTTCTCTCTCTTCAGGGTCTCGCTTGCACTGAGCGTCATGAACCGAGAGGCTTATGACACAGTTACCTCCTTCTCTCTCTCATTTGGCTTGTTTTGTCTGGTGTTGTCATTGTGACATTGAGGTCTTAAGGTTAATTATTGTTTGTTTATTTTGGATTTAGCAGCATTTAGTCTGGTTTTAAGCCCTGGTTCCTGTGGAAGAGCCTCCCTCCTGTGTGTGTGAGCGAGCGAGTGAGCAAGTGTGTCCTGCTACAGCCTTGGCTGTAATGATGATGTATGATTTGCTGCGTTGGCACAGGCTCTTTGCTTAAAGAGATGTGAAGGGCGCTGGGATGCACTTTTCTGCTCTACTCTTGTATAAATCTCCCAGGATGGGGGGTGTGAATCTTGCTGGATGTACTCGAATGCGGGCCTGCGGTAGCTCATATTAACTGTGTGTTTATAGTAAATTAGCACAGCTAATCAGTGTGACAGTGCTACAGAGGGACTGTGTGTGTGTCAATGTGTGTTTTATTATGAGACTTCTGCTGTCTGCCAGTGTGAATAGTTCCATTATTCACAGCGATAGAAACAGAAAGAGAGGAAGAAAGAACAAAGCACTTTTATATTTGGTTCGGTTTGTTCCTTAAAATACATTTTGAAAAAGTTCACACGCTGGAGGAAAGTCTTGTTTTTCAGGATTCTGTACATTTTAGCTGTGCATGTGCAAACTGCGTATGTGTGTGTGTGGGGCCGGGGTAAAATCTATATTCAGTGGAGTCAGTAGGTCTCCTCTCATCTTACTGGTGATGCTCACTAACACTTATTAAAATTCAACGCTGCAGTGTGTGTGCGTGTTGCTAACAGGGTTTTGGAGATGTAGCAGATTTTCAAAAATTGTAATTTATCACTCTCTGTTGTATTATCCTCTTATAACACTTATCATTTATCTCTGTCTTCATATTAACATACAGATCATATTGGGACGTTTAGAGTTAACTTCTTTTATTTTTAAACTGAGTTAAATATATATTTCTATCATCTAGCTTAAACCTAAAACTAACACATGTATACAGTTGTGAACATACATTTACATACCCCTGTGTAATCTTCAAAATGTTCATATTTGAAGAGAGTTGATAGGGATCTTAAAATACATTTTTTAGTACTGCCCCGAATAAGCTATTTTTCCACAAGACAAAGTTATGACTTAAATTTACACAAATGAATTAACTCATGTGTGCTTAATACTGTTTATTGTTACCTGGACTTTATATAAACATCTGTTATGTGAAATAGCTTATAAAGGGCAGTTTTAGCTAAAAACAAAATGCAATTTTTTATTATCGCTCTTATTTTTTTTAAATGTTTAACATGTTGCAGATTCTGCAAAGGTTGTAAACTTATGACAACAACTGTATGTACTTAAATACAGCAATAATATGTCTTTTGAACGTCAGAAAGAGATGCAGAAAGAAATGTAAAGATTTTTTTAATCTTTTAATCGTGTTTTATTTTGGCATGCATTCGACAAAAGGACTGAATGGACAAAAATGCTATAAAATGACCATACAGTTTCCTCTTAAAATCTTACATACTGAACTCATACACACACACACAGTCTTAAACCCAAAATATGAGATAAAGTGAGAACATTAAAATCAAGAAATGTGTAAATACGTCAGTGTGATTAAATATCTGACTGTTTTGACTAAGTGGTTGACGATTTTTGCAGTTTATCTGAATGATATGCTTCAAAATGATACTGTATAAAGTCAGACCGCTCCTCTCTTGTTCTCTCCTCTAATTCAGTATTTCCTTACCCTCCACATGCTGAATATGACCTAGTGCAGTAAGCAAGCACACACACACGCACACTGCAGCAAATAGATGTTGTTGGTCTGAAATGAGAGCTGGACGGTGTTCTGACCGAGTGGATCTTGGCTTTCAGTTTGTGCCTTCAGTGAACCTGGACCAGAACCATAAAAAGACCAAAATGAAAGGCTCTACAAAACCGAATGCTTCATATGTGTATGTGTGTGTGATATGAGATCAGATTTCTCCCTCCTCATCTCAGATAGGACAGTAGCTTTAGACCATCTGCTACTGAAATAAAGCATGTGTGAGTGTGTGCGTCTGCATATCTGAAATATCATGGCTATTATCAGACAAATGTATTGTAGGAGCGGGTGAAAAGGGGGTCAGGAAGCATTGAAAAATAGTTAGGAAAGGGAAATGAAAAGTCTTAAACACTTTTTTTTCTGATGTCCAGCTTTCGTTGTAGAGAGGAAACTCCACATCCACAGCATCACTGTCACAACAAGCAGGACGACTAAGATCCGCCACGGCAACAGCTGCCACGACAACCAGCATCCCAGTCAACCATCTGTGTGGCAGCTGTCTGCTGTTTATAACTGATAAGAAGTTCTGGTGGTCCTCAGAAGATGATGACGATGATGATATGCAGCTCGCTGGTCCTCCTCGGGCTGATCGGCATCAGTTATTCATCTAGCGGAAGTTCACCTTCCTCACCCCGGATGAAGCTGTCTTATAAAGGTGATGAAACCTTGTATGTACACATTTATGTCTGTATCCATGTGTTTGGATTTACATTTGAGTGTTTTTGTGTGTTCTCCAGATCTTCAGCAGTTTAACGGCGTTAAGCGGTTTGACTTAGAGCGTTCGTGTTGTTTCGGAGCTCTCCTATTGGACGAGGAGAGGGGACGGCTGTTTGTTGGAGCTCGTAACTTTCTTTTATCTCTCAGCCTCGACAACATCAGCAAACAGGAACAGAAGGTAGAGCACATTGCTTAAAGGAAACATCTTCCATTCTGTTTGTCAAAGTCAATCATTATTTTTAACAAAGTCAATCATAACTCACTTTGGGATGCAGTCACAAAGTTCACAAGTTTGTAAGATATTTCTTAAATGCAATTCTTGAAAACTAATTCTGCAATTCTTAAAGTGTTCATAGATATTTTAAGACTATATATATATTATGTATCTATATTTTCATATACTAAATATTATATATTATATACCACTACAATATTATGGTAATAATATCTGTTTTGTTATGCTTAATATTTAAAAACAATACAATAAATTCATTCAACATCTTTCCTTTTGAGATTTATCTTAAATTTTGAGGTTATTTACAAGGATCTGATTTCACCACAACATGTTCCTGGATCAACATTCAGATTTGAGGGACAGGTTTACAGTTTATGTCAAGTTTAGGCTTACAGCCATGTTTAGGTGTTTCTTTAGCAATGTTATTCTCCTATTGTTCCCTCTGATTTTAGAGAGAAGTTATGGGTAGGGTTAGGTTAGGGATAGGGTTAGGACTATAATTTCGGACAGGAATGTTGTTCCAGGATCAAAAAACTCGTGTCCCAGATGTTCAACAAACTTTGTTGTTTGGTATGTTTTGTGAATCTGCTTCTAGCTTTTTTCACTCCTGTGCTCTCTATATTATATCTGTCATACATTTATTCTAATGAAGTAGTCCAGGAGCATAAACTGGACCTACTTATATTGACAAATTAAGTGATTACACGATTGGATATTTAAAAGCCTGTTTACACTTGTATTTTTTGCCGCCCACACGTGATTGTGTGTTTGTGCTAGAGAATCAGTGAAGAAGCTTTAGCATTTATTGTGTGTAATTTAAGTCAATCAGCCTTTAAAATCACACCAGATGTTTTATGGTGGCCCAGGCCAATACCGATGACAGAATGACGGATTTTTATTTCTTTAGGAAGGAATGATTTGTGAGAGTTGTCAGTCACTGTGTGCAATAGCTCTAGCCTCACACAAGCACACACAGGTGTGGTTACGGGAGGATACGTCCGGATGTATTGTGCATGTGTCCATCGCCCCTGGACGTGTTTTGATGGGGTTCAGCGAGAATGTCCCTCAAGCTACTAAACACGTCTAACCCTGCAAACTAAGATCCTAACCTTAAGCAAAAACTCTTCCTCACCTCTGAACTCTCTCTGTTTGTCAGATCTACTGGCCAGCGCCTGTTGATTGGAGAGAAGAGTGCAACTGGGCCGGGAAAGATATCAACGTGAGTCTCTGCAATAATCAGATCTTGTGGTCATTAACATATCTGGTTTACACGCTTATCTGTACCATCTCTCCTATGAGCTGTTTACACACAAACACACACACACAAGGCAATTAGCACTGCTATCACACAGCTCTCCTAAACGGCTCCATCATTTACAGATATCAATGTAGAAATCAATGCACAGCCAAAGTTTTCTATCAGGGGTCTGTGGGGTACTTAAAGGGGCCCACAAAGAAGATTTATAGAATATTGAATGTTCTCGTAATATTAATGATTATTTGCATATCTGAAAAGCATTGTATATTGTAATAATGTTAGTTTTAGTTCGTTTTTGGGACATTTTATTATAAATCTAGTGATTTTATTAAATTATTATTAAATTATTATTTCATTAAATGAATCAAAAGTGGCAGTAAAGACATTTATAATGTTACAAAATATTTCTATTTCAAATAAATGCTGTTCTTTTAAACTTTCTGTTTTTCTAACTTTTCTATTCATAAAAGAAAACATAAACTGTTTTCAACATTGATAATAATAACACATGTTTCCTGAGCTCTAAATCAGCATATTAGAATGATTTCTGAAGTCATGTATCGTCATCTATTGTCTAATTCCATTACCATGGTTCTTTTGCAGTTTTCTCAGTATCTCTTTGATACTTATGTTGTAACATCGAGCATGTTTGTCAAAAGGTCATAGTTCATGTATGTTGTAGCTTGTGTGTGTTTTATCTGGATTGTTAAGCGGATGTGTGTGGGATGTTTTTGGACACCGTGTCTGTCTGAATGTTCTCTTTATTTTAAAGGGCGTGGAAGGTTGTGTAACTTCAAAATGTGTGTGTTGGGGTTCATTCTATGGTGGGACTGAGGTCAGCTGACAATGAGATCTGCCACACACACACAGACTTTGTTCAGTGCACTGACCTGTGAGTTGACCCTCATTACATGTAGGTGTGTACAGGACGACGGGGACAGAACCAGACCTCCGTGAATAAAGACTTAAGATTTTCCCTAAGACTCTCCCCCTGACCTTTCACTTTCTCATGTTATCTCTCTTTTGTTCAGTCTCAGTCTAAACTCTGATTTCACTCTCAATATTTCTTTCAATTTACTCAGTTCCCTTAATCTCGGGTCTCTGTCTTTCAGTCTCTTTATGTCCTACTTCTTTCTCACTCCCTTTCTTTCATTCTCTGTCATATAACATCTTCTGAAGCCACACACTAGCTTCATATAAAGAGACTGAAATGAACTCTTCTCTTGAGAAACTCTGCAATTGAATCACTGAGTCAGTGAGTTGAACTGGCGAATCAAATCAGTCCAATTTGTGAACAAATCATTTTGTGAATCGCATCAACATGAATCATATACAACTTTGATTTTCAAGTTCAACTCAGTGAACTGACTCAATGATCCCTCGGCTGTTAGACAAAATCATCAACTTTAAAGAGAAGAAGATTATTTGTGAGTAATGACTTAAATTTGAATCAAATTATTTTTGAATGAATTCCTTTACTGTCATTTTAACAGTGTCTCACAAACTCACAAAGTGTGTTTGTGAAGTGTTGATAGTAGATTACTACATGTGGACAATCACAAAGGGATCCAGTGATCAGGCTAATAAGGTCAAAGTTGAAAGTTCACTGCACGCGTCTCAGCAGGAAATTCACACACACATACGGTTTATTCCTCCTGAGAGACATTGTTCATTTTAAAGCTCTTTTTCTTTTGTTCTGCACTCTGTCTCTTTCTCTCTCTGTCTTTCTTTCTTTTTTCTTTTTCTGTCTTTTTTCTTTGTCTCGTGGGCTCACTTCAAAGAGCCCGTCAGCACACACACACACACACACATGCTCACACACATCCCTAACACGTCCTTTCCTTATTGAGGGCCGTAAAGCTCTCGAAACAGAAGCACCAGTGTGTGTGTGTACAAGAGGTAGAGAGAAAGGGAGAGACCCCTTCCTGTATAAACACAGTTTGTCAGCAACTTAATTGGTCTTCTATGATTCTGTTCCGCCACCCCCTCCGTACAGCGTACACACACACACACACACACTCTTCACAGGGTGCGTTAAGCTCAAAGAGAGGCCTTTGTTCTCCTCAAGCTCTGTATGTGTGTGTGTATGTGTGAGTTTGTGTGCAGGGTTTAAGCATAGCAGGAGGGCACATGTCAATCACATCTTTCTGTAGAGGCAGCAGAGCTGTTACACACGAAAACATACACACAACCTTTAAGCTGGCATGATTATGCTGTCTTCTAAGATATTTTGTTTTTACCATTTTCTAGCATCCCAGAATGCATTGTGATGAGTAAAATCTAATATGGTGGATGAAATGCAGATTGTAAATATTTCATTAAATAGATTATTATAGATACACAATTAAGTTATTTTTCAACTGGTTTGCTTTGGGACAGTCCTTCAGGGGACAGTGGGTCAGTGTCACTTTGTCTTTGGGAACTTAAAGGAGAAGTGCCTAATATCTGAAGTTCAGTGCCTGTGTGAGTGTTTCTTGAGCACATTTCAACAGATGTTCAGTTCAGGGTTCATTCTGCTGCTGAAAGCCCACAGTTAGTCAGAGAGAGAAGATGGAGTGAGGCATAATTACAGTCCAAACAGCAGGAACATCTGCTTCTGAAACTGGAGAGTCCTCTCCTCTTCTCTTCTCTTCTTCTCTCCTCTTCTCTCCTCTTCTCTTCTCTTCTCTTTGTGGAACTGATGAGACAGTTGACCACTTATTTATTTATTGCGTGAGGTTAGGCAGTCGTTTTATTGTTTTAAAACGTTTGTTTGAAGGTTTTGGTGAAGTTATCTCTGATCAATATTTTATAAGTGGTCCCAAATATACATTTCATAACGGAAGAAAAATATGCATATTCAATTTTTTGTTGGGTATGACTAAAATCGCCATTTGGAAGACTCGAAAAAATAAGTTATTGGGTATAGGTACTGTAGATGCAGAAAATGCTTTTAAAGGCATGGTGACTGCTAGAATTAAAATTGAATACACATATTTTCAATTGATCAATGATATTCAAAGGTTCGCCGAAATATGGTCTGTGGAAGGAGTTTTGTGTGAGGTTTTGGATGACATGTTGGTTTTTCAATTTTTAAAAATGATTGAAGTATAATTATTGTGTATATGTATTTTTTATTGCTTTTTTGGATTGTATGATCAGATAAGAAATCTGGTATTTGGAAAAAGTTAATGTTATAATAAAGTCTTGTTAAGCCTCTCTTCTCTTCTCCTATCCTCTCCTCTTCTCTCTTCTCCTCTCCTCTTCTCTCTTCTCCTTTCCTTTCCTATCCTCCCTTTCTCTTTACCTCTCCTCTCCTCCCTTTCTCTCTTTTTCTCCTTTTCTAATTTCATCTAGTCTCTTTTCTTCCTCTTTAAGGTTATCTCATCTCCGCTCTCTCTTCTCGTCTCTTTTTGTCTCATCTTGTCTCTTCTCCTGGTTTCTCTGGGCAGATTGTCTTTGGTTAACCCTTGTTGAATTTTCTTTTCTTGAATCATCTTCTCTTCTCGTTTTGTCTCATCTCATCTTGTGTCTTTTCTCTTTTTCATCTTGTCCCTTTCATCGCTCATCTTGTCTGTCTGTTAAATGACATAAATTCTCTTTTCTTTTCTCTAGTCATCTCATCTATTCTCTTGTTGTCTATGGTTATTTTGCCTCTGATTGTCAGTTGCTGCCTTTTCTCTTCTCTTCTTGTCTCATCTCGTCTCACATCCATTTTCTTCTCAAATCTTCTCATCTCTTGTTAACTCGTGTCTTGTTAACTCATCTTTTGTTTGTACTCTTCTCCTGTCATCACAACTTTGGTCTTCTCCTCTCATACAGTATTTTCACTTCTCTTCTCTGGTCTAGTCTTTTCTCTAGTTGTTTTTGGTTATCTTAGCTCTTGTTTTATCTTCCTGACTTAAATCTTCTCTGCTTGTCTGTTGCTGTCTCTTATTGTCTCATCTCAATCTCCTCCTCTTCCCATGTCGTCTTTTTAAGTCTCATGTCATCCTTCTTCTTGCCTCATGATGTCTCTTCTCTTTCACATTCCTCTCTTTCGGGCCATGCTTCATCCCTGCCGCCTCTCCCGGATGTTCCCGCTCGCTAATGTTGTCGTAGTGATTCTAGGCACTCTGGGAAATGTGACATGCTCCAGAGAGCACATTCACAAAGGAAAAGAGAAACAGAGAGACTATACGTGTCCATGGATGTCAGTTGAACAGTCGATGGGTCTTTGTTTTTATGTGTGAAAGAGAGAGCGTGAGAGATTACAGAGAGATCCGGGATCACAGCGAGTAGGCAAAGGTCAGTGCTCATGTCAGACTGTCGTCGAGGATATACGTAATGCAATGACGTTTCATTTATGATCCGCCCCATACGAGGTCCCTTAAGAGATAAACCGAAAATGTTTTCGTCTGCCTGTGGCTCTGTGCTACTGATAGTCAATCCAGATGGTGGCAGTCTCCCTGTCTCACAGATGAACTGGTGAAAGTATGTAAAACATGTCCTTCATAAAATTGATTTGTGCATGCATGTGTTGCAGACGGACTGTGTAAACTATGTGAAAGTGCTTCACCACTATAATCGGACTCACCTGTACGCCTGTGGGACTGGGGCTTTCCACCCCACCTGTGCTTATGTGGAGGTGGGACAGAAGATAGAGGTACGTTTGTGTTTGTTTGGATGCATATGAATAAGTTTGTGTGATAAAAGGCCCAGTTTGTCTTTCTTGATGGTCAAATGCACAGCTACATACAGTAATATTTAGCTCTGTCTTTATAGGATCATGTGTTTAGAATCGATCCCTCTCTGGTAGAAGATGGGAAAGGAAGAAGTCCATATGACCCACGCCACACATCAGCATCTGTTCTGATTGGTTAGCTGCCACTGTTCATCTTTCTATCTCCCACCTAAAAGACACTGTTACATCATGAACAATCAGTAACCATATCTACTTGATCATACAGGTGATGAGCTTTATGCCGGCGTCGCCACTGATTTGATGGGTCGGGACTTTACAATATTTCGCAGCATGGGACAAAGGCCTTCCATACGAACGGAACAGCACGATTCTCGCTGGCTCAATGGTGCGTTTGTGTATGATTTATTTAAAAAAAAAACATTTAAAAAAATGCAATTCACTCAGTGACTTAAATAGACATCCTCTGTGATAAGAAAGTCCAAAAAGTCTCATTTAAAAAGATGAAATTCTAAAAAGAAAACATAATTTTTTTCCTGTTATTTATCATGCATACTCTTATTTGCTATTGACCCATGTGTTTATGTGCATCTCTGTTTTTGTATAATGGCAATATGCCCTATGCTGATGATGTGTGTTTCAGAGCCCAAGTTTATTGCAGCATTTGGTGTTCCCGAGAGTGAGAATCCTGACGATGATAAAGTCTTCTTCTTCTTCAGAGAAACTGCTGTAGAAGCTCAGGGATTCGGGAAGGTTACATATTCCCGGATTGGCCAGCTTTGCAGGGTTAGGAGCCGATCATTTATCACTAAGTCTAATGGCTATTGGCTGCCGTTTATCATCTTGATTTAAATTAACATGCATGTTTTTTTTTGGTTACAGAATGATATGGGAGGACAGCGCAGTCTAGTAAACAAGTGGACGACCTTTCTGAAGGCTCGTCTTGTGTGTTCTGTACCAGGCAATGATGGCACTGAAACGCATTTTGATGAACTTAGTAAGAACACTCAGAAACACACACAGACACTAGGATAAAATCACGCTGAATTAACTGACAATTACATTTCATTGCCTGCTGACCTTTGTCTGGACCTTTAGGGGATGTGTTCCTGCTGCAGACCCGTGATAGAAAGAACCCGCTGATCTACACCGTCTTTACCACCTCCAGGTCAGAGTTCATCTAAGGCTGTTGTTTAAAGGTTTAATCTGAGATTTCAGGCCCAAAAAAAGGCCCAAACATACTGTAAATGATCACATTCATCGAATCTTTCCCAACGATCCGCTATCTGCCCGCCCCATTAGCAGGCCATCAAAAAAAATGTCTCTGTAGGCAGCCTAGGCTCTGAGATCTGCACACAAAAACAATTGGTTTCACCAACCGCTCAAAACCAAAATTAATAGTGTTCCAACAATTCACCAATAGGGGGTGTGTGTTGTGAGGTTTTGCGCTCGTGTACGGCTGCACGTGAAGTCGGAGCTGAAGAAGAAGCTAGCGTCTATCAACGAAACCAGGTCAACTGGGCGTCACGTTTTTTTGACCGCCTGCTTATGGGGCGGGCAGCTAGCAGATCGTTGGGAAAGATTAGATGAATGTGATCATTTATTTTTGGGACTGAAATCGCTGATACAGCCTTTAAAGGGTTAGCTCACCCGGTTTCTAAACTTTATGTTACTCCATACCTGTATGACTTTCTTTCTTTAGTGGAACACAAAATTAAACCCAAATACCTGAATTCAGCGTTTGTGTGACTATTTTGATCTCCTTGTACTGTAACGTGTTAATGGTCTCTGTGTGTGTGTGTGTGTCTTTGTCTTACAGCAGTGTATTTCAAGGTTCTGCAGTGTGTCTCTACACCATGAATGACATTCGGCGGGCATTTTTAGGGCCTTTTGCCCATAAAGAAGGACCCAATTATCAGTGGGTTCCTTTCCAGGGTAAAGTGCCATACCCACGACCAGGCATGGTGAGAACAGATTCATACGCCTCATGCATAAGTTTGGGGTTGTAATTTTTTTTTAATGGGTTTGATCAAAAATACACTCAAAACTGTTATACTGTGAAATAATATTACTGTTTCAAATGAATGTTTTCTGGTTTAATATATTTAAAAATAGAATGCATTCCTGTGATAGCCAAGCTGAATTTTCAGCAACCATTACTCTAGTCTTCAGTGTCACATTTGCTTTTTCACGATTCTTTGATGAATAGAAAGTAAATAAAAAAGTACTTTATTTGAAATAGATGATTTTTTTTTGTCACATCTGATTAATTTAATGCATTCTTATTAAAACAATAAAAAAATCTTATTAACCCCTAACTTTGGACAGCATTGTAAAGTGTAGTGTAGTGTGAATGTTAGAAAGTAAATATAGGTTTGGACTTGCTGACCTCTGTAGACTATTGATATCATGTGAATGGGTTGTGCTTCCGGATTCTACAGATATCTCTCTCTCTGTCTCTCTCTTTCTCTCTTAGTGTCCCAGTAAGACCTTCGGGAGTTTTGAGTCAACTAAAGGTTTCCCTGATAACGTAATCCAGTTTGCAAGGCACCATCCGTTAATGTTTAATCCAGTAACTCCACTGGGGGGTCGGCCAGTGTTCCTGCGTACTGGAATACCATACAGCTTCACTCAGATTACCGTAGACCGTGTCAATGCAGCTGATGGACACTATGATGTAATGTTCATCGGCACAGGTAGAATACTGTCTGAAAATTGATAAAAAGGATCTAGAGTCCAGACTAAACTGTCTTTACTAGTCACAGCCCTGGTTAAAGCCCCTCTATGTTTCTCTGCAGATGTCGGCTCAGTGCTGAAGGTGATCTCTGTGCCCAAGGGAAGCTGGAGTAACACGGATCTTCTGCTGGAGGAGCTTCATGTCTTTAAGGTGAGATAAGGAATGTGGGGATTTTGTGACTGTAAGTGAGCTAAATCAGTCAAAACATGCATTTATTGATGTTCTCATATGGAAAAAAAATATTACTGCATCAAATAAAGTTTCATTCTAAAATGATTAATGCTTACTTTTTCTGGTTAAAGGGTTAGTTCACCCAAAAATGAAAATTAGCCAATGATTCACTCGCACTCAAGCCATCCTAGATGTGAATGACATTCTTCTTTCAGATGAATCGGAGTTACATTAAAAAATGTCCTGGCTGTTCCGAGCTTTATAATGGCAGTGATCGGTTGTATATTTTTGAAAGTCCATGAAAGTGCATCCATCCATGATAAAAGTTCTCAAAACGGTTCAGGGGGTTAATAAAGGCCTTCTGAAGTGAAGCGAAGCGTTTGTGTAAGAAAATTATACATCTAAAACTTTGACCTTGACGCACAATGTTACGACAAATGTGGAAGCACAGAGGATAGAGCAAAACAAAACACTAGCCACAAATTAGAAGTCTAAAATTAAATTTTTTTAAAGAGAAATGTCGAGGGAGCTTGAGTTTGTTGCCCAGCTGTTTATTTGAAACACAAGAGGCGTCAAAGCTTACGATACTCCTACATGGTTACTGTTTTGGCGCAAGTCGACTTGCGTAGGCCGTCTGCTGGAAGCTTGTTATTTTAGTCGATAAAGATTTAAATGTGGATATTTTTCTTACACGAACACAGTGCTTCACTTCAGAAGGCCTTTCTTAACCCCAAAGCCGTGTGGAGCACTTTTATCATAGATGGATGAAAAAATCCATTATAAAGCTTGGAAGAGCCAGGACATTTTTGTATATAACTCCGATTGTATCCGTCTGAAAGAGGGATGTTATATACCTAGTATCAGTTGAGGGTGAGTTAATCATGAGCTAATTTTTTTATTTTTGGGGGAAGTATCCCTTTAAGGTTCTATTTGTTAATATTAGTTAGCTACAATAGTTAACACGAACTAACAAATAAAAATACTAACGCATTTATTAATCTCAGTTAATTATTAAAATCAAAGTTGTCTTTGTTAATGACATGAATAGTTGTATTTTTATTATCTAACATTAACAAAGATGAATAAATACTGCAACAAATGTATTGCTTATTGTTAGTTATTGACGGGGCCTTATTGTAAAGTGTTACCAACATACTCTTGCACTGCATTCTTATTGCAGGATTCTTCATCTATTACAAGTATGCAGATTTCCTCTAAACGGGTGAGAACGAGTCTTTGTTTTTATCAAATATCTGCTATTTTTAAACAGTATTAAAGAATCACATGAATGCAGCATATTAGTAAGTCATGTGATCATTTTCTCTGTCTCTACAGCAACAGCTGTACATCGGCTCAGATACAGGTGTTGTCCAGGTTCCTCTGCACCGCTGCAGTATGTACGGCAAAGCCTGTGCCGAGTGCTGCCTGGCTCGAGATCCGTACTGTGCCTGGGATGGACACACCTGCACACGCTACCTGCCAAACACAAAACGGTAAAACCTTTATTAATGGCTTTAATCAAACATGTTGATTCAAATTGCAAAATAGATGCATTTAGAGACAGTCAAACTTGATGGCGTATTTTTTTGCTAAGGTTTTTCTTTATATTATATATGTTTATGTTTGTGTAGAAGGTTCCGGCGTCAGGATGTGAGGAATGGGGATCCTAATGCTCTCTGCTCTGGAGGTAATACTGCAATACCTCTCTCAGCCTCTAAGAGGAGTTATTTCTCTGTTCTCACTATTGTTATTCATACACAAATGTGAATTAAAGCAATGGTTCTAAACTGCTTGGTCACAAGTCTGCAAGTACGATAGATAAAATACACTACTATTTAAAAGTTTGGGGTCAGTAAGAGTTTTTAAAATGAAATTAATATTTTTATTCTGCGAGCAAGATTTTTATTTTTTTTACAAAAGATTTTAATTTCAAATACATGCAGTTCTTTTCAACTTTCTATTCATGAAGGAATCCTGAAAAAACAAAAAAACAAATAAAGAAATCTGTTTTTAACTTTGATAATAATTATATGTTTCTTGAGCAGCAAATCAGCATATTAGAATGATTTCTGAAGGATCATGTGAGACTGAAGACTGGAGTAATTATGCTTTGCTATTATTATTATTTTTTTTATCTAACTTTTGAACTTAGCATAGAATTTTAATATTGCCTATTTATCAGTTATCTGCCATAACATATTTTTTCCCCTTTTTTTCTCACTTTATTTTAAAGGATTTTTCAAGTTAAAACACAAAACAAACAATGTCTCGGACTACACACACTGACAGGAGAAAAAATAAATAAATTCAAAAAATAAAAATATATGAATAAAAAAATAAACTACAATACATTACACACATACATACATTACATGCACACATAAAAGTACAGAGTAAAAGGCTGCAAAACAGACAAGGTGCCCAGAGGGAATATGCAGCCTAAACTTTAGAGGAGTAATCTGCCATAACATTTAAATAATTATTGTGTTATTGCTGTTGACCAGAATTTTAATATCAGTGCATCCCTTTTTTACACATTGTCGAGCCTGTGCAGTCCATGTACTTCAGTGTTTGGTTTTATGGACATTTTTGTTTACTTTTTGGTAACATTTTTGTATGATAAACAATGTGTTACTGTGTTGTGTGTGTCGCCTCTTGATATACAGCGTAAATTTCGGAAGCAAAATGATTTCTAATATGAGTAACTAGACTGACCATGGCTGAGAAGTATAACAGTGTTTTGCGTGTGTGTCCTGCAGACCATCAGAAGCAGCGTGTCCTGGAGAAGAGGCTGTACGCTGTGGATGGAAGCAGCTCCTTCCTGGAATGTATCCCAAAATCACTTCAGGCCCAGATTACATGGACCTATCAGAAGCATCCGGAAAACCCACGGGAGGAGGTGAGAGAGAGGAGAGAGAGGCAGGCTGAGGTAGATATGTGGGTTATTATGAGAAAGACGGATGCAGACAGCATTGATAAGAGATGATAAATGTGTGTCTTTGTTGAAATTAATGACTTTCATTCTCTCTCGCCTATCAGTGTAATCACTACTGATGCTTGATGCATTAATTGTGTATATGTGTGTGTGTGTGTGTGTTCACAGGTTCGTCTAGATGATCGTGTTTTGCAGACCGAGCGAGGCCTTTTGCTGAGACGAGCTATGCGTAGAGATGGCGGTGTGTATCAGTGCCATGCAATGGAACATGGATTCACCCAGAACCTCCTTGCGATCACGCTGGAGATTTTGCCTTTGGCTGGCCCCGCCCCCTCCGCCCCTAACCCTCGCAGCCATGCACACACCAATCACGGGCAGTCCACCAATCAAAAGCTGTGGTACAGGGACTTCATGCAGTTGATGGATCATCCAAACGTAAACACAGTTGACCAGATCTGCGAGCAAGTTTGGTCACGCAAGCACAGCCTATCAGGGAAGACCGCGCCAGGTCCAGCCAATGAGGCGCCGGCTCACGACCCGCTGCACTCTAAAAAGTGGAAGCACCTGAAGGAAGTGAGGAAAGGACGAAATCGCAGAACGCACGATGGGAGACCCGCACCCAGAGCGCCGCGGAGCGCTGGAGAGTAGCGAGGGATGAGAGGTGGAGTTGAAAGAGAGACTGAGAGACAGAAAGGAAGAGCAAAAGAACCACTGGAGGTGGACAGATTCTCACACAGCATCTCATTCATTGACTGTTTATTGCCTGTTCAGCTTTTTATTACCCCTGTGACGACACTCCACCGCCTGTTATTAGTCTCTATATACTCTATTGGCCTCATCTCCAGTCTGAAGACTCAATCTAGTGCCCCCACGACCTCAATCCCGCTCCCGTCAACATCTATTACTCCAAACCTTCCAATTCCTGATGGTTCTCCAGAAACCCATGCTCCATCCAGTTCTTCTAAAATACTAACACAAACTCAAGGTCGCGGTCCAAAAAAATCCCATTGAGTTGTAACCGGAAAATCTTCGAGACGCAAAGACATGCATGTGCTGCGTAAATCAGTAAACACAGGCTCTTGTGGACACGCATTGAGTAAATCCATGTATACTCTTCTATGTCTTCATCTGGGTGTTTGTGCTACATGTGTTCTGTAGATTAGATTAACTGGCTATCACTTTGGCCCTGACTCACCAGCACCAGATGAACATCACCACTCTTCTTGTTCTTTCACTGCTTGAACACTGCTTGAAGACTTAAAACACAACATTTCAAGCTCAAAAGACAAAAAAGGAGAAAAAAAACTGTACATTTGTGACCTGGTAAGGCTGTAGCTACCATGAGTGTTTAAGTAAAAGTTTTTTCATTTGACAGTAATTCTATACCTTAAACGTGGTCAGCGAAATTGACATTTTTGGCAGGAGGTGAATTATTATTTTGAGATACTAAGTTATGTGTCAGGTGTTCTGATTATGTATTGTATGAGACTGATATAGACACAGCATTAATGTATAGGGGGATTATGGGTAATGTATTTTCCCAGACAGCAAGGACATCTACAGAGAAACCTTTTTAGATACTTTTAGGTCTAATCTCAGAACTAACCAGTTGAAAGCCAGAATAGTTATGTATATTTGAATGTGTCTGTGTAAGATTTTGAGAGTGAGATTTTCCTGCTTTTTATACAGCTCTACCATATTCACTGTTTAAATGAGCATTCTGTGAGCATCATTCTGTAACAGCACAGCGAATGCTAGTACATAATGGGTTAAATGAGAAAACACAGATCCAAGGCCATCTTTCAAGACGAGAAACAAGAAAAAGTGTCCAAGAAAAATGTTGTCAGCTCTAACTCAGACAATTCAGATGAATATTTAAAATAACACATTTTGATTTAATGAACTATTCTGTCTCTGAGGAAAAGGAGTGTTGAATTAGTCAGTAAATGCATGTTTACAGACGCTTGAGCCAAATTTCTTTTTTGATGCATTGCAAATAGCTGTGTCAGCGAATCATACCGATTCCAAAAGCCAAATTCTACAAGTTTACCAGGGAGCGTCCTGGGGGGAAATACCATAGGCTATTATTATAGTCGCGACTCTAAAAATGTGGTAATTGATATCCACCACCACAAAAAGTCAGAAATTGAAAGCATTCTAAGGCTATTAAAGTTTTTTAAAGTGTTTTAGACTGTTCTGCAAGGTAAATGAATGGTGCTCGAGCAGGAGTTATAGTGGACCCGATGGCCTCGCTCTGTGTTGTTATGGCGCTCTCTTCTGGTGTTTGTGGTTTCTGCTGTGTCGGATGAGATAAACTTGACATTAAATTAAAAGATTCCGAATCCGATTCATTTAAACGGATGTAAGAATGTTTTGAGTAGAACTGGTGGGTTATCATGTGGTAGTATTTGTCTAAAAGTTATACTTAACGGTAATGTTTGCATGACTTTAAACGTCGAGTTTTTGTTTGTTTTACAATGAAAATACTATGTTTTAAAACTGTTCTGCGAGAGTATCTGATATTTTCATCGTATATTTATGGATCGATAAGCTAATGTGTTGTTGTGGTTTGTGAAAAAAACTGACCTATGTGTAATGAGGAGAATATCATATGAGAACATCATGTGTGTATATTTTGACATTCTTTCCCTAATTTTGAATACATAAAGACCTAACCTGACACACTCCATTTTTTAAAATCACATTCTGAGTCATTTTAACGATAACAGCCTTTCCAACTATTCTCTTTCTGCTTTGTGACGCTTCTCAGCTTTTGAGAGAGAGAGAGAGAGAGAGAGAGAGAGAGAGAGAGAGAGAGAGAAATTGAGTGTGTGTGTGTGTGTGTGTGTGTGTGTGTGTGTGTGTGTGTGTGTGTGTGTGTGTGTGTTAATGTGAGATAGGCTCTGTGTGTTTGTGCTTTTAAATATTAGAATTTCTGTACATTGGGGAAGAGTGTGAGTTTCATGGACAAGTCAAAGGTCAAAGGCCAAAGTTGACATGGACACTGGGTATTTTCTCTATGGATTGTTGAATCAGACTGTAAATGATTAACACAATAAAAAATACAATTAATTCAAAATTACTCAGTTTTAGTTTTGATAGAGCGTGTGTGAGGTAAGAGAAAGAATGATTATTGCGATAAAACTCTGTGTGCATTAGCGCAATCTCACCACTCGAGTGCGCTGCTGTGTTGTCACACTTTTAACTCAATAGAAGGTTTGTTTTGAAAAAGTAGTTTCTGTACATATATATATGTATATATATATATCATTACTTTAAAACGGGGAGAGATTGATTTAAATTAAACATAAAATTAAACATCAGATGACGCTTTTTTTTCTTTCTTTTTTTATTGCAATAAATGCACTACATAAAACGCAACAACTTGCCACACATCGTTCCGTCTGCTAATTGGTAGTAATGTCTCTCATTGTCTGTATTTCTGTGACAGCTGTAATGATTAATGATGCTAATTAGGCCTAATTAACCCTTCACTATACTCCTTAACCTCTCAGGCTCTCATTAGAGGTGTTGATTTAACCCTTGTATGGTGTTCGGGTCTGTTGGACCAGTTTTCATTTTTTATCAAAAGAAAAAATTATACAATTGGCTTTATGCACAGCTGCACTACTTCCTGAACTGAAGCCAGCTCCTTGTTTCCTGTCTGCTATTGGCCAAACTTAATTAATTCAGGTGTGTCTGATTGAGGTCAGACACACCAGAATTAATCAATTTGACCAATAATGGCAGACAGGAAACAAGAGCTGGCTTAAGTTCAGGAAGTAGTGCAGCTGTGCATAAGGCCAATTAATAATTTTTTCAAACTCACGCGGTGTCCGAAATCTCGACTCAAACCACTACTCTTTACCCCCTACATAGTAGAGCACAATATAGTGAGCTCACCAACATAATATAAATACAACTTTCGGACACTACTCGATCGTCTCTTGGCTAAATAGATTTTTTTAAATAAATACATTACATTATATTGAGCTTACTCCAAAATTTAAAGACTAAAAGTAATTTCTGGCCATTTCTGTTATAATGCGCTACTCCACACATGATTATAACTTATTTTTACGATCAGCGCAATGCATGATGGTATGTAGGGCTTGGGTTAGTGACCATTGGTTGTACACTACTTTTCAAAATGCTTTTTGGGATACATTGAGTGGACTATATCACTACATTCGGACAGCACTACAAAATGGCGAGCTCACTATATAGTACGCTATATAGTGAGTAGTGAGTAGTGGGTGTACCCCCCCCCCCCCCCCCACACACACACACATTTACATTACACACAGGATGTTCAATTGGCTATTATTACTAGTGAGACTAGTGAGAGTGTGGAAACTGTAGGTCCTGTGTACCTTTACTCTGTCCTCCTCCTGTCAGTATGTGAGTGTGAATTTTGTGTTTCTGCTCCTGCCGATCCCACAAAAGGTCACAACATTGCTGCAAAATTCAAGCACGGCCACCGTCTGCTCTCATGTTCCCGCACATTTTACCCTCTGCCATTAATTCTTAAATGTAATCTAACAAAGGTAAAGAGAAAATATTAACCATATATGCTGTTTATATTGCTTGTAATTGGGATGAAGGAAACATCTGCTGAGTATTTTAACATAAAATAGTTTGATTGTGTTGAATAAAAACCCCAAAATGCAGCGGACCCACGGACACTGGCTGAATAACAAAAATATGAACACCACACAAGGGTTAAGAAAGCATTGTCTCAGTGTCGACAGACTGTCTCACTAGCTATTCTTCCACACATATTTCATTTTCCGTCTTTTGCTTTGTCTCACATAAGTCAGATCAGGCAGAGCAAGAGAGTATATCAGAAGCTGGAAAAACAAACCGTGGCATCGGAGGAGAAGATACAAGATGAGCAGAGAAAGGTGAGTTTGTACAAGCGGCATAGAAAAACACAACCTGCCCAAACAATGAAAATGAGTTACTTAAGAGTTAATAAGGCTTAAGAAAATATTATTTGTGGATCTAATTATAAGGGATGTGGGAAACTGGACCGAAAAAGAGAGAAAGAATGTGTGGCCCTTAACCTGTGCTAAAGTGGCTGTAATGAAGCCCCTTGACTGATTGTGAGTGAGCACTGGTGTTTCCATTCATACTTTGCCAGTGTGCATCTTTCTGTAAGGTGAGTGACTGAATATGTCTATACAGCTGTGCTGCTCAGTAGCCTAGAGTGCTAAATGTGGCTGGGGAATAATATCCTTTGTAAACAGGTATACCCGATTGGACCATGAGGGTGTTTGTTCATGTTTCTAAACAGGAAGTGGGTCAGTAGTGTGCGTCAATGATGATAGTTCCTGCAGCTGCTATTTCACTGTTTGGAGCAGTTACTTACACACACTTCCGCAGGACCACAGCCTTCGCTTAATGACTTAAGTGTTTGTGTGTGCTAAGCTTGTGTTAGAGATAAATTTGAAGTTGTGTTGGAACAGGATACAGTCAGGCAGACTTGGGATGAGGTGACCCTAAATTAACCAGATCTGTGTCCATTACAATGGACATCACATGTCAGCCCCCTTTTTTTAACTTCTGGAGCATTTCACCTAGTTTAAAGCCTGCAGTCCATGAGATTGGACGTTTGTCATCCAATCAAATGCCAGTAAAGCTCTGCATGTAGTAATTATATAGTATATATATATAAAAAAAACTCACTTCACTCCAAACACAGAAGCAAGCAACATTTTCTAAGATGTATTTACATTTTGTATATAATTTTACCAGTATTTCATAGTTTGTATGTAAAATAGAAAGATTGAACTTATTAATTAAAGTTAAAAATCGACTGTAGAATTGCACGTTTTAAATCAGGAATTTTTTTAAATGTGCCTGACCGTTAGAATGGACAGTAAGTTTGAGTTTCAAGAAGATCAAAGAAACGCAAAATCGTTTTTTTTTTTTTTTCGGGTAGAAATTTTGAGTTTCGATATCTCAGCTCTGGAAGGGTCTAGAGCCTCCATTTTTGCACTCAGGTCGAAGTCTCATGGCCCTCTATCAGAATCCAGAGTTTTGAGAAGATTAGAGAAACTTATTTTCTCGCCCAAAAAAAAAAAATGAAAGGGGTAACACTGTCGTTTTTTTTTTTCGGTTCGAAATTTTGAGTTTCGATATCTCAGCTCAGGGTCTAGAGCCTCCATTTTTGCACTCAGGTCTAAGTCTCATGGCCCTCTATCAGAATCCAGAGTTTTGAGAAAATTGGAGAAACTTAATTTCTCGCCCAAAAAAAAAAAAAAAAAAACGAAAGGGGTAAAACTGTTTTTTTTTTTTTGGGGTCGAAATTTTGAGTTTCGATATCTCAGCTCTGGAAGGGTCTAGAGCCTCCATTTTTGCACTCAGGACTAAGTCTCATGGCCCTCTATCAGAATCTAGAGTTTTGAGAAGATTGGAGAAACTTAATTTCTCGCCCAAAAAAAAAAAAACGAAAGGGGTAACACTGTCGTTTTTTTTTCGGGTCGAAATTTTGAGTTTCGATATCTCAGCTCTGAAAGGGTCTAGAGCATCCATTTTTGCACTCAGGTCTAAGTCTCATGGCCCTCCTTCAGAATCCAGAGTTTTGAGAAGATTCGAGAAACTTAATTTCTCGCCCAAAAAAAAAAAAAACGAACGGGGTACCACTGTCAGGTTTTTTTTCGGGTTGAAATTTTGAGTTTCGATATCTCAGCTCTGAAAGGGTCTAGAGCCTCAATTTTTGCACTAAGGTCAAAGTATCATGGCCCTCTATCAGAATCTAGAGTTTTTAAAAAGATTGGAGAAACTTAATTTCTCGCCCGGAAAAAAAAAAATCGAAAGGGGTAACACTGTCGTTTTTCTTTTAGGTCGAAATTTTGAGTTTCGATATCTCAGATCTGAAAGGGTCTAGAGCATCCATTTTTGCACACAGGTCTAAGTCTCATGGCCTTCTATCAGAATCCAGAGTTTTGAAAAGATTTAAGAAACTTAATTTCTTGCCTGAAAAAAAAAAAAACGAAAGGGGTAACACTCGTTTTTTTTTTCTGGTCGAAATTTTGAGTTTCGATATCTCAGCTCTGGAAGGGTCTAGAGCCTCAATTTTTGCACTCAGGTCAAAGTATCATGGCCCTCTATCAGAATCTAGAGTTTTGAGAAGATTGGAGAAACTTAATTTCTCGCCCGAAAAAAAAAATCGAAAGGGGTCACACTGTGGGGTTTTTTTCGGGTCGAAATTTTGAATTTTGATATCTCAGCTCTGGAAGGGTCTAGAGCCTCCATTTTTGCACTCAGGTCAAAGTCTCACAGCCCTCTGTCAGAATCCAGAGTTTTGAGAAGATTGGAGAAACTTAATTTTTCGCCCGAAAACGAAAAAAAACGAAAGGGGTAACACTGTCGTTTTTTTTTCGGGTCGAAATTTTGAATTTTGATATCTCAGCTCTGGAAGGGTCTAGAGCCTCCATTTTTGCACTCAGGTCAAAGTCTCACAGCCCTCTATCAGAATCCCAGAGTTTTGAGAAGATTGGAGAAACTTAATTTTTCGCCCGAAAACGGAAAAAAACGAAAGGGTAACACTGTCGTTTTTTTTTTCGGGTCGAAATTTTGAATTTTGATATCTCAGCTCTGGAAGGGTCTAGAGCCTCCATTTTTGCACTCAGGTCAAAGTCTCTTGCCCCTCTATCAAATCCAGAGTTTTGAGAAGATTGAG